TCAAATAGACAAATTAAATGAACTTGTAGAGTCTTTATTAAATTCGGGTCGTGTCTTTGATGACTACCTTACAAAAGATATAATAATGCATTACTCAGAGGTCGAAAGCCCATCAAAAACATTAAATATTATGGCAAGGATTTTGTTTAATTACCAAAAATCCATAAATGGCATAGAAAGATTTTACCATTATAAAGAATTATTTGCTTATTTATTGAACAACAGCGATGTTTCATTAAACGAAGCAATTGATTTCAAATTGAAGTTTTATTATTGTTCTTTCGATATATCACCTATTGTTAATGAGATTTTAATCAAAAAATATATTGCATTAAAAAAACAATCAAAACACTTTTCTCGATTAAAATCGCTCTCCGAAACACAAATTTCTGGGCTATTTGATAGTTTTGGCTTTAAATTACGTGATGATAATAAAAATGAATCTATTAATGACCACATTAATGGATTATTGGAATTGATGGATGATTTTGTTGCAACTGGAGTTATGGTCCCGTATCATACAATTGAAAAATACTCTGATCCTCTGAAAGAATTTGGCGATGAAGAAGCTATTAAAAAATGGAACGAGTTATGCTTGACAATGACAAAAATGTATGATATGAATAAAAAGGACAATGATGATGTTGTTGTTGAAGCAGATAAGAAAGATAAATCTGGCGAAATATTGATGATGGAGCGTAATCCAACAACGGAAGAAATAAATCGATCATCAGAATTGGCAAGTATTTGTAGGGGTAACGATATTAAACCCGGTGTTATCTTGACAGGAATCAAACAGATTCTTGATGACAATTTATTGCCTACACCTGAGCTAGTAAGTCAAGCAATTAGAAATTTGGGAAAACAAAATAAATTAGAGGAGGCTCTAGAAATATATAAACTTTTCTTGACTTTTTATACTCAGTGGAACAAACAAGTCAGAGAGAAAGCGTTATACTATATATATAATAGTGTCTTGATTGCTTATGCTAGTAATGATAAGGCAGACGAG